CAAACTATTCCACCAAACCTTAACTTTCTCTTTAAAATCCAGGTGAGTGAGCCACATATTTTCAAATCTGAATGGACTTGAGCCACCATCACTAATTCACTCAAACAAACAGATGGGCCAATGGTCTGAGGTGATTCTTGGTAGATTTCTCCCAGCAAACCCTGGCCAATGCTCTTCCCAATCAGGTGAAACTAAAAACCTAACAAGCTTGGATAGGATAGGGGATGTTTGAAGGTTTGACCAAGTATAGCAGGATTTCCCTAGAGGAATATCTCTTAGCTCAAAAGCTTCAATAAAGGAGTTGAACTTTCTCATACTCAATGTAGTTTTTTGCCTACCCCCGGTTGTCTCACTCACAAACCTAACTACATTGAAATCTCCCCCTAAACACCAAGGTCCACCCCAGAGTCCCCTAATATCCCCAAGCTCCTCCCACAATTTCTTCCTTTCTTTATATAAGTTTGGCCCATAGACATTCGTGAGAACCCATTCAAATCTTTCCTACACACCCTTCAACTTAATAGAAACTGAGAATCTACCTACCAGTTCTTCCAAACATTGGACTACTTCTCTCCAATTAATATTCCTCTCTCCCCACAAGCTTCTTATCCAATCTTGTCAACTTCCTGAATTTTGGATTCTTGAATTAGAACAAAATCCGGTCTCTCCTTCCTCAATACCTCTTTGACTACTCTTTTTGTGGCACTTCCTTATCCCCTTACATTCCAACTAATAATCTTCATGATCACATCAAATACTGACCCCAGCCCTCATCTAGCCTATAGACCCCCTCTCCTCCCTCCCCTAGCACTGAACTCCTTATCCCCTTCCACATCACTAATGAGCTTTTTTTTTCTCAATAACACAGTTCATTAATTATCAACAATTAGAATTACAAAGAGGAAGACAAACTTTCTTATCTTCTAACTTCAGCTTAAGCCCCAAGAAATGAACAAGAGAGAAGAGAAAAGGGAAAAGGGAAAAGGAAAAAGGAAAAGGAAAAGGAAAAAAAAAAGAAAAAGAAAAAAACAGATTTAAATTACAACTGTGCCCAGAACATTGACTCCTTGTCAACCCCTTGTTTAGCTAACCCATCAGCAAAAGAATTAGCTGATCTTTTTACCCAACTAATTTTAACTTCCATTTCTCAAACCAGCCATATGAATTTCCTTCTCATATTGCTATATCTCCATAAACCACTATCGTCTTTCTTCAGCCACCCTACCACCACCTCCGAGTCCCCTCCAATTATGAGTTTTCTGAGATTCACCTCTCTAGCTTTCTAGACTCCTTCCAAGACTGCATGGATCTCAGCTCTAAGGGAGCCACCCACTCCAATGGGGCCTGAGAACGTGGCAGAAACAACCCCTTTCTCATCCCTAAAAACACCCCCAATCCCTGATTGTCCAGGGTTCCCTTTGCTACTTCCATCAAAGTTTAGTTTTATGAAACCCGTAGGTGGGGGAGTCCAAGACACACTCATTACTGCTTTAGTCTAGGTACAGCTAGCAATCTCACCCCATTTCCTCAGCATGTCATCCACGGTATAGTCTGTGAATAGCTCTAAGGATTTCATCCACTATACAACCCTTGTATGGATCAAGGCCCTCAGATCTTCAGCACTTCTTCTTCAGAGAAGATTCTGGAGTTTCTCTCTTCCCATAAAGATACATCACTAATGAGTTTTTCAACTTCATTTAGCTTCCTTCTCCTCTTGCCCCCTTTTCTTTACTTACTTTCTTTTGAGGTTCCTTTTCTTTGATTTTTTTTCCACTTTCAACCCCATTTTATCAACCAAATCCACCACCGGTCCTTTGCACTCTGATCTTCTTGGCTTCTTTTACTTTCTCCCGCCTCCTTTTCTTTCTTCCCCTTAACTAAATCCCTCCCAACCTCCTCATCACTCTCACCTTCTTGGGATTGAATCCTTTTAGTGGTTCTTTTTCCCCATCTGTATCCATCCCCCTATCAGCCCCTGCTCCTTCCTCAAACTTCTGCCTCCTTTCACCCCCAGCCTCAGACACACCCACCCCTCCTTTCTCTCTGATTATCTCTCTCGCACCAACTTCATTCCCTAATCCCCTACTCATCTCTCCTTCTTCTAGCAGATTCATGGGCAAATCGTGGCCTTGGATAGGATCTGAAGAGACAGTAGGACCAACAAAATACATATTAGCATCAAAACCTAAACCAACAGAGTTGTCGAGGTTACTAGAAGGCTGAGAAGAAAGTATGACATGTGTTTTAGTAACAGGAGTTTCGGTGCCTCTCCAAACCCCCAACTTCAGTTCTAACTAGTTGGGAAGGCTTCGAAGGAGTATTTGACTTGGCCATCTCAGAACTTGTACCCCCACCCAGAATATCCTTTGTAACCTCCTGGTTCCCCTGCTAAAATGCAAACTTATCATCTTGCTCCTGTCTCTCACCTGGAATGAGTTCCCTTGGATACCTCTAATCCCCTCCTGATAAATTGGAAGATCCTTCAAACCACTAACTGGTGTTAGTCACAAATCACCATCTCTGTTCGTAGTTGAGTGAAATACATCTCCACTTTGTGATCTCCTCTTATTAATTGCGGCCTCCTTTTCATCAAAAACGGAGACAATGTGAAGGTCATCCCAACTCTCCACGCTGACCTAAACAGTGTCTTCAGAACTTCTGCTGCTAGAATCATCTTCAGAAGAAAAGTCATTGTCTGATGCTTCACAGTCAACCCACTAATCCTCTACATCGCTGTCCTTCCAATCTGCCTTAGTCCTTTCATAGGGAGGGCTAGGCCTGTTGCGACTTTGCCCACTGCAACTGCGAAGACTCCGAACCAGTTCGACTATCTTGGGTCGATGGGGAAGATGATAGATCGTGAGTACAGTCCCCCATCGCCTTACTAAAGACCTCGCATTAAGTCATCACATGGGAGAGAATTAAAAACTGGTTCAACTTGCTGGTTCGACCCAGGAACAGCATTTGGCCCATCCTTTTTAACCCTGCTTTTTAAGACTTGGTTTAATCTTCAGGCTGACCGACCGGTGAAACTCAAAAACATTTGAATAGCCCATTTTTAATGGAAAATTGGAGCCAAACAGATTAAAGTCCGAAGGTCCACCTTCTAAAACAGAGCCGACATAGCACTACTGGTCTTCCATAATTTCTTGTCCATCTGGCAATCTTTTGGACATGTCACTATCGTCTCCTACCTCCTTATCTTTCTCCCACAGCAACGTTTCAACTTCCATCACTAACCAAACTCTCTGCCACCGCCCGCCGGAGAAGATCTCGACTGATCTTGGTACCGGCTGCAGATTAGAGCCCTTTACCTTGATCTTTGCAACTTAAAGAGAAGACAGGTTCACTGCTATAAGCGACCCTCCACAAAGTACTGCCACTTGGGAGAAAACCTCCTGCTTCCACAGATTGAACGGAAGCCCAATCAGTTTTATTTGAATGGCCTCCACTTCCTCCAACACAAACTCATTGCAGGAAGGGTTCCAGTTCTGCAACAAGGCCCAACCTTCCTGTGTCTGTATTTTTGTTGTGACCTCAAGAGAGCAGCCAAGATCCAAAATGGCTGCCTTCTTCTCAAATGGAATCAGGAATGCTTGTTCTATCTCCGGAAGCGTCTTCATGACATAACTAGAACACCATTCCAGTCTACCACTTCCTCTTTGAATATTATGTTTATGTATTTTAATTTTAGATAGTAGGTTTTTTAAAACATTTAATTTATAATTTAAGTTTATATTTTTTATTAATATTATGTTTAAAATTTTTTTTTTGAATTTTTTGAATTTTTCACTTTTTTTTTGTATTTTTGCGCCTTGCTTAAAATGGCGTGTGCCTCACCTTGCGCCTCAGGTGCAAATTGACCTCTGTGCCTTTTTGGCACCTTGTGCTTTTAAAACACTGGACGCAAGACCAACCAAAAGAAAGACTGAGAACACCACCCCTTCATACATTGGCTAGTCTTCAGGATCAAGCATCTCGTCCTACCCACCATTGTCCTCATCCCAAACTTTTTCCTCTTTTCGTCTCATATTCTTCTTCATTTTCTCCTCCCTTTTACTCATTTCAAATTTTTCAAAAGCTCTTCTAGTGAACTCTCCACCTCCCCATAAGAATAGCCCTAAACTCCCACTAGCATGATCTCCCTCGTCCTTCTTATCCCCCGACCCTGGTCTAACCTCTATCTCTTCTTTTGTCAAGGTCAACATTATTTCCCCTTTGACAACTTGAACCCCACCCCCTCATCACCCTTTTCTTAGTTACCCTGCATGACTCATTGCAAGGGGTTTGTCTTCTTTTCCTAGTAATAAACTCCTTTTTGCTGATCAGGGCACGTGATTATCATCAAATACCATGTAGAATAACATTTGAATATAGTATGGACATTATTTATGGGTAAAGTTTCAGGAACAAATATGCAAGTAACACAAAAGAAGAGCCCCCCCCCCTCCTCCATTCTCTCCTTTTCCACAATTAATCACTTGGAACTATGATGGGAAACCTTCTTATGGTGGTAGTGTTATTGATAGATGAATAGAGGAGCAGAAAGTGTTTATGAAAAGGACAACCACGTGAATAATTAATTTGGAGCAATTGAGGCTTTGATTGATTCCATGTTGATAATTTAAAATCAATAGGAGTTGCCTATGCCTTTTCCATCAGGTAACATGCCCAATTACTTTTTGTGCAAATGGCAATTCTTACGGGTAATATATTTGTGCACAAGTTCTGAAGTATGAAATGATGGTGCAATTATGATAACATAATCCTTCACAAAGATGCTGTCATTTTTTTCTCACTCCCCATCTTGTCAACAAAAAATATGTTCTTTACCAAGCAATAATAGTACAATAACTAGTGCATCTAAGCATGTTCAAGAGTATTATTTGAGTGCCCATTGGCCCTATCCTTTACCAGATGTTTGAGAAGATAGTAAGCAAGACAGAACTATCAGTTGTCACCAGCAATATTACCAAAGAATATGAAAAAGATGTCCTTACCTGGATCCCATCGGGTAGGTTCATCGAAGAAAGCATCAATACTGCATCTTGACTAAAATTTATCTCTATTCTCCATCGCTTTGGAGCAATCTGCATGACAAAGTAATGCACAATCTGATAATAAGATGTAGAATGACATTGCATTTGTTATTCATCTTTTTCTTTTCATATTTTTCTTGTTCTTTTTTTCTCCTTTCTGTTTAAACTTTATTCCAAGTAGAAATTTAAATGTCTAATGCCAACTGTAACTTCATAAAAAGATCAAGTAATAGAAAATGTTAGAATCTATACCCAACAGAAGAACAAATTATTAGCCACCATTTCAAGCCACGGATGATAACACTACCAACTAGGCAATAAGGTGAAATCACTATGGATTATGAGATAGAGGACTCGACAAGATCCTAGATGAATTTTCTGAATGAGTAAGAGAACAGCATACAGAACATAAGCATAAAATTGGGCATTGATAACCAAGATAATGTCCCAGACCATTTACTGCTAAGAAAATGAACAAAAATCAAAAAACAATAGACCAAGATGCACTATCTGGACAACAATCCAAAGAAAAAAATCACTGTTATTAAGATATGCAGCAGTAGGATAATTACACAATAAACTATTTCAGTAACTGAAACTTAGAAACTAGAAAATATCATATTAAAACATGTGCAATGACATAAGGATCCTTTGTCATTTAATATCATAGTGGAAAAGATACTGGTGGTTATGATCTACTGAAGGTACGATTAATCTGCTTTGGCATTTTTGCTGCCTAGCTGTCAGTCCAGACTGGTACTTCTATGGCTCTATGTTTAGTTGTTTACAGAAAACATCAATAGAGATTTGAGATTTCATTGCTACAAGTTACAAGATCTCAAACCAATGCACACACTAGGCTTTGAGAAGGATAAAGGTGGAGGATTCCCATGCTATCATAAACTAGATGCAAGATGGCACAGATGGCTCATGGTAGGGATTATCATGGGCCGGTCCTGGTAGGCCAGACTTAGCACCTATTTTAAGGGTATAGCCTAGGCCCGGGCCCGGCCCAGGCTGGACTGTGGGGCCTATGGCATTAAATGACAATTTAATTATTTATGAAATTTTAAACTATATGATATGTAATACATGAAAAAATCAGTGTTTTAAAAGGCATGGGAGGGCCTCCAGGCGAGGCGCTCCCAAAACGCACCTGAGGCGTACGCCTCTTGCGCTTTTTTTTCTGTACACCTCATGCACATCTTATATAAAAAGACAGAAAAAAAAGTAAAGGAAAGGAAAGGAAAAGAAAGGGAAGGGAAAGAAAAAGAAAGAGAAGGAAAAAAAGAGAAAAGAAAGAAAAGAAAAGGAGATCCCCCCTTACTCTTCATCCTCCTCCTAACCCCCCTCCTCTTAAGGAGGTGTGCCTCCTTGTGTTCGGGAGGCTTACGCCTCTTGCGTTATGAACTACGCCTCACGCCTCTAGGTAGTGGACCACTTCACATAACGCCTCCGCTTTTTAAAACATTGGAAAAAATATTACATAGGCCCAAGTTGGGCTTGGCTTGGCTTAGTTTTGGGCCTAAGACACAAAAAAATAGGGTATTTGCTTCAACATATGGTTGTCTCTCCTTATATAGGTGAAGGCAAGGCCACTTCACATTCAACTTTGATTTTAGCAGCCTAGGCAATCCGGGACCCTCCAGTATTGGGGGAGTGTTTAGAAATGCAAAGGGATTCATCACTTTTTTCTCTGGCCCTATAGCAGTAGGGGATTCAGTTAATGCAGAAATTCAGGCAGTGTTACAAGGAGCTCAATTTTCCAAAGAACTGAACTGTGCAGCTCTTAATTGAAGGTGATTCCAAGCTGGTGATCCAGTGGTTAAAAGAGCCAGAAACAGCAGCCTGGTCCTACGAGGGGATTTTATGAAGATTCAGATGGCTAACGACAAACATGTCTGTCTAATTCCAACGTTAAAGAAAATCTGCAAATGGATCAGCAGACTCACTAGCTAAACAAGGAGTGCATAGGAAGCAGATGTTTCGGGCCAAGCTGTAATTCTCTACTTCGATCTGGCTGCATCTCACGCCTCCTTTTGGGAACCTTCTCTGTTTATCTCTTATAACTCTATTAATAAAACTTCTCAGTATTCATCAAAAAAAAAATAGTGAGTGTAGTTCCAAGTGCCACATTGCTTAGGATTTAGAATGAAGGCCTTGCCTTCATCTATATAAGGAGAGACAACCCTAGAGAACAAGTTATTCTCTCATGTGTGAGCTGACTCGTGAGTTGATTCACATGTCAATTCATAAATGTTTATATTATATATTAAAATTTTTATATAAAATATTTAACATAAGATAAAATAAAATGTGTAAATATATAATAGTAAAAATGATATGTATATTATAATATAAATGTATGTATGCACTGTGGGACAGATCAGGCCTGGCTAGGCTTCAAGTGTTGGGCCCAAGCTCAGCCTAGGTCAAGAATGATTGCTCCTTGCCCATTGAGTCTGAGGTATCAGTAAAAATCACCGAAGTTTTAGATAAATTCCTTGTGAAGAGAAAGAAGTAGGTGAAGAGCTTCAGTAGTAAAGAAGAAGATAGGAGAAGAAAAGGAGTGGGATGTCGCCCATAATTGAATTAGTTCTGGCCGCCAACCCCTCTTTGTATTATATACTCAAGTTAAAAGAATAAGAGATTACAAGAATGCCCTTAGTAGGGCGGCTACTAAAGTAGTTGAACAGTCACAACTTAAAAAACATAAACAAATGGGCCTAAAGCCCAATAACTTCCTAACTTAACAACTTAAAAATAAAAGATAAATAGCTGAGCCCAATAACTAGAATTCGGCCCAACTCAACACTCCCCCTCAAGTTGGGAGTAAATGTCACACATTCCCAACTTGCGTAGGTCATGCTCCAACTTGTTCTTTGTAACACCTTTTGTGAGAACATCGGCAAGTTGCAAGTCGGAAGCAATGTATGAGAGACAAACTTCCCCAGAAGTCACCCTTTCTCTGATGAAATGTCTATCAACTTCAATGTGCTTTGTCCAGTCATGTTGAACTGGATTATGGGCAACATTAATTGCTGCCTGATTATCATAGTACAGCATCATAGGTTCTTTTGCCTTTACACCAATCTCTCCTAACAAGGAACGGATCCAGAGAAGTTCTAAAACTCCATGTGCCATAGCCCTATATTCAGCTTCTGCACTTGATCTTGCCACCACTATCTGTTTCTTACTTTTCCACGAGACTAGGTTACCCCCAACAAGGTGCAAACTCCTGAAGTAGATCTCCTGTCGTCAAAGCATCCTAGCCAATCAGCATCTATATAAGCCTCTAGCTTCAAATGTCCATGGTCAGCAAATAGTATGCCTCTGCCTGGGTGTCCCTTCAGATAAGCAAGAATCCTGTCAACAGCCTCCCAATGTTGGACTCGCGGGGCATGCATGTATTGACTCACCACACTCACTGCATAGGAGATGTCTAGTCTTGTCATACACAAATATAGCAGCCGCTCCACAAGTCTCTGATATCTGCCAATGTCCTTTACCARCTCACCTTCTGATGCATTAATTCTGTGATTCTGATCAATAAGAGTATTGATTGCCTTTGTTCCAAGCTTCCATGTTTCTTGTAGAAGATCCAAAACATACTTCCTCTGAGAAATAAAGATTTCATGTTTTGATCTTGCAACTTCAATGCCCAAGAAGTAACTAAGCTCCCCAAGATCCTTAATTTCAAATTCTCTGTGAAGATTCTTCTTCAAACGGTCAATCTCACTTAGGTCATTTCTTGAGACAACAATATCATCCACATAAACAATTAGGACTAACACCAAGGATCCCCTCTGCTTCACAAATAATTATGGTCAGATTGAGTCTAAGTGTAGCCAAAAGCAACCAAGACCTTCCTGAACCTGTCAAACCATSCTTTGGGAGAATGCTTTAAACCATAAAGTGACTTCTTGAGTTTGCATACCTTCCCCTTTTCAGCATCACTGTAGAAACCAACAGGAAGATCCATATACACTTCCCCTTTGCACATCAGGTTGAAACAGGGGCCAAGAGTATATAGCAGCAAGAGAAAGAGGTATCCGAACAGAAGTCATCTTTGCAACTAGTGCAAAGGTCTCTAAGTAATCAATGTCATAAGTCTATGTGTACCCTTTTGCAACAAGTCTGGCCTTATACCTTTCTATACTTTCATCTGCCTTATATTTGACTGTATAAACCCATCTGCATCCAACAGTCTCCTTGCCCTCTAGTAGATCCACAATCTCCCATGTCTGATTCTTAATTAAGGTTTTCATCTCTTCTTACATAGTTGTCTTCCACTCAGGTTTGGAGAGAGCCTCAATGACACTCTTGGGTATAGACACAGAGTCAAGAGAGGAAAGGAAAGCATAGTAGGAAGGAAAAAGTCCACTGTAGGATAGGTACTGTGAAATACAATGAGCAATACACTTTCTCTTCCCTTTTCTGAGAGCAATAGGAAGGTCCAGGTTATCTGTAATGGGGTTAATAGAATCAATGGGAACTGAAACAGTAGAGGGATCAAGAGGAATACCTTTATTCGTATCCCAAACTGTGTTAGCACCATCTAATGAAATTGTTGAACCAATAATGGTACTTCATCTCAAGATCTCATTAAGTAAATCCAGGAATATCGAAAAAATCATCCATAAATAAGAGAAAATATCAATAGCCACCTATAGAAGGAACATGATATGGTCCCCACACATCAGAATGAATAACATCAAAAGGAGATGAACATCTTTTATTACTAACTTTAAAGGAATTTCTACAATGCTTTCCAAGCTGGCAACCTTCACACTCCAGACTGGACAAATTAACAGACTCAAAAAACTTTGGAAATAAGAAACTCAAAGAAGAAAAAGACAAATGACCCAAATGCCAAAGCATAATCTGACTCACAGACCTTGACTCACTATCCCTACTGACATGATAACCCTGATGATGAGGAGGCACATCCAGGAGGTAGATTCCATTCACTTCACGACCACTCCCAATCGTCCTCTTTGAATCCAGATCCTRCAAGACACAATGACCAGGAGAAAAAATTATTGAGCAAT